TTAAGGGCCAAATACTCACTGGAACACTTCTACTTTGCTTGAAGCTGGGCGAAGATCCCCTTCCTCTGTGAGCTCCACTTGCTGTTACAGGAGTTGCAAAGCCAGAAAGGATCTCCAGTCATATTCCTGCTCTCTCAGGGGCACTGCAGCTCATCCTGAGCCAAGAGAAGGGAACCCTAAGTATAGTAAGTAGCCTGTTCTATCCCATCCAGTCTTTACAGCTTCCAGATAGTGGGACAAAACTTCAACAGTTCTCCAGAGCAGCCCAGGGTGTTGTCCTTAGGATATTGGTGATACTGGACCCTAGACTACTGGATGACCCCCCAGAGAAGCTTTTTAGAAGCACATATTCAAGTAGGACTATGTGGGATACCAATTTTCCACTTCCATGTATGCTAAATTTAGTAATAAAATGGTCACCATTTTCTATGAGTTCTACAATACACATACCAAATCATGATCACCATTTAGGATTAAAACAAAAGGTGCCTCCCCTCTGTCCATTCCAGCCTATGTCTTAGTCATTTAATGTATCTAGCAATCTGATACTTTGTTCTGGGTGTGGGTACTAGAGGCTCCAATTTCATCTAGGAACAGAAAATTTGGATATGGAAACATAGGTTAAGAAAACTGTCAAACCATGTCCCTGAATGAAATACTTGCAATCTGTGGGTTCTTCTGAAACCTTCATATTTCATGATAAGAACTAAGCCACATGATAACTGTTGTTTTCTCTAAGCAAAATCTGAAATGGTCATTGTCTAAGACTAATTTATTGAAGAGTTATAAAAATAAAATGTTCCCAAAATTTAAAGAAAGTTTTAAAAAACAAAATTCCAAGGACTTGGTTGATTTTGTTTATATTTTATGACAAATTGTTAGAGGGAGACTTATGCAAACAGTAGGAACATTTTTAATAAAGATTGAAATCTCAGTTGGTGCAACCAGTGGGCCAAACTCAGCTGGTGAGAAAGGATTGCCTGGCTTAAACAAACAAACACATCTAAAATTCATTGGCCTCTTAGGGCACATAATAATAAAATTTATGAGGAGGAAACATATTTGGCATTGGTCGCATCCTTGATGTGCAAGCAAATGTGATGCAAACTGTTAATTGTGTTAATGAAAACATGTAAATTAGATACTATTTTCTGGTTTATAACACATTTCAGGCCTAAACAAGCTGGCCACCTTTGAGACATGAGTTGTACTTTCTCCAGTTAATAGTAATAGTGTAAAATGGAGGCGGGGGAAAGTTGTTAATCCAGATTTCAATGTTCTGATTTAATGGTTCAGCTTTAATGTTTTCATCTTCCTCTAAATATACCCATATGAATCTGTGATTATTAGACTGTTTATGCCCTTTGGCTGAGTCATGTAACATTTCTCAGAAGTGGAAAAGCACAGAATCTTTGCCTGCCTGCCTGCTGGAGGGCTGGTTTACATTGAGCCCAAGTGACATAACAGTACAGTGTCAAGTTACATGGAAGAGTAAGCATAAAAATCTAAAAATCCATGTAATGATTGTTACATCTGGACTACTTTAGAGTAAGTTTTCTACTTTATTCTCAAGGCAGCCTTGATAGCTTTTTATCAAGATTCTGCATTATAATCTTCCTCATGTTGTAACAGGAACATACCATATTATACTTTTCTTGTCTACAATAAGAATTCCAAACAGCCTTATTTTCATCTACGTAAAGGCTGTATTCAGATAATCCTAACTGTGCCTTTTCGTCTGTTCAATTGTGTCCAATTCTTGGAGATTGCTTGGACAAGTCCCTGCAGTTTTCTTGGCAATGCTTGCTGCTCTTCCCGGAGAAAGTGACTGGATCAAGAACACCAAGCTTGCTTTGTGCCTAAGGTGGAACTAGAATTCAAAATGTCTCAGTTTCTATTCTGGTGCCTTACATACTATACCAAATTGGCTCTCTGCATGCCTAAGTGCTATAGTGATTGTTAGTGTTTCTTCTAAATAAATGGGCTATCACAGAACAGAACAGAAATGGTAGAACATCAAGATAATTCTTGTAATCTTTTGGAAGTTCCTCCCAAATGTTTGACCCATTTATAATCAACGTTTTGCTTACAACAAAATAAAAATCTTGCAGATACAGAATTTGATTACACTCAGCTTATCTGTAAAAGAAACCCAGTACAAGTCTCAACCAAGCTAAAAAGATGCACTGAGAGATAACGAGCTACTTACATTTTCAGTTTTTTTAATAGCAAGCAATATAAAACTGTCTAAGCACTGAATAAACAATATGAATTGAAAAATTCAAATATTAGAAAAAGACCAAAGCAAAGTACTTATTCTCAATATAAACCATAAACTGTTACTATAGGCAAAATATTGATTTTAACACTTTAAGATACTTGCATGTTCAAGTTTCTGGATGTTTTGATATCCTGATTATCCAGATCTTACTCAGCAAACTATTTTCCATCTTTCACAGTGAGGAGTGTACAAGTCTGTGCATGTGTGTGAAATGTCTGTCTCTCTCACTGCTCTTTCATTTTGCTAGTCTTCCATACATGCGGGTCTATGTCTGGGGTAGTGACTGGGTTCACATCTGTCCAAACCCACACAGATCTTCAGGATAGCACATACTTGCCCATGCTACACCAATCCCCAAGAAGAGAGGTCTAATCTGCCTAAAAAAAAACCCTAAACAAAAATTTCAAATTCCAGAAATATGGGGTGTGGTCATTCATACTTGCAGGAAAACTATTCTGCCTTTTCTCTTTTCCCAGACTGAGAATTTTGGGTAATTAACTTGTTCAATATATCAATTTTAAAAATAGTCTGGATTGGAATTAATATGAACATTATATCCTAGCCTTAAAATGAATTAATGGATACATAATAAGCAGTACAATATCAAGCCCAATTTAATGCTATCTATATAAATTATGCAAATCATATGACCATGGTTTTCTTGTTGTTTCATTATTTAATCCAACAACCCCAGAAAGTACAGTGGATTTATAAGTGTATAAAAAGCCTCTTCTGTAACTACAGGTAGTCCTTGATTTACAACAGTTCACTTAGTGATCATTTAAAGTTACAACAGCACTGAAAAAGTGACCATTTTTCACACTTATGACCATTGCAGCATTCCCATGGTCACATGATTTACACTTGGTTGCTTGACAACGGACTCACATTTATGATGGTTTTGCAATGTCCTGGAGTCATGTAATCACTTTTTGCAAACTTCTGACAAGCAAATTCAATGGGGAAGCCAGATTCACTTCACAACTGTGTTACTAATTTATCAGCTGCAATGATTCACTTAACAAACATGGCAAGAAAAGTCATAAAATGGGGCAAAAGTCATTTAACCAATTTCTCACTCAGCAACATAAATTTTGGGCTCAATGGGTTCAGTTTTGTGGTCCTAAGATGAGGACTACTTCTGCTTAGCCTGGTGAAAAGATGTAAACTCTTTTAGTGAATATTCTGGATATCATTTTATTATTTTACATAACTTTTCTCAAGATATTCTAAAAATAAAAATAAGGCCGACAATATCTGGGCTACTTTTCCATGTTAGGCCTGTTTACATTTTAAAGAGTATTCATTACATTAGTTTTTAACAACACATATTTATTCAGGATACAATATGATGCATTCCTGTAAGGATTACAGTCCTATGAGTGCTCAAAACATTTCACATGGATTATTTTGAAATAAGTATACCGCAAGATAGATTGGTAAATGAAGGAAAGCAGAAATAGTAAGGAATTTATCCAAATACTAAGTTTCCATGAGAGATTTAATTATCCCTTGGTTAATCTGTTGCTGCAAGTTCAGGGTAGAATATGAATTGCTTTTGAAACATTATTTCTGCATGCATATGTATATATATGTATGTATGTGTACACACACACACACACACACACTTGTATGCCCATCTCGCCGGTGATATATGAAACTCTAGTGCCTGCATCTGGGCTTTGTTATTTATTTCAATAAACTATTTGGATATTTTATATTTAGATCACTCTAATATTGTACTTTTAACAGTGCAAAAAGTCATCTGAACACTGTGGAAAGAATGTTTTAATCTTTTTATATCCATTTTGGTCTTTCTAGATGCAATCAGAGTAAGAGTTACGTTATTTGTAATCATGTTGGTCAGCCCTAACTCAGAATAAATAAGAGATTTGAATTTTCCTCAAGAAACACATTTTTGAGTAATTTAGTTCTATTAAGGCAGAAATGGAAAAACAAATGTTATCTAGCATTTTTCTTAGTGGGAGCAAAAGTTATGTTTAGCTAAATCAAAAGCAATACAGAACTCTTCCTAAATATGAGTTATGACCAGGCAAATTGCACCATCTGTAGGACAAACAAATGCACTGGCATAAACTATCAGATTCAGCTTTAATAGAGCCTAGGCGGTTAACCTTTTCAGATTTAGTGCTGAAACGGGAGCATGCGTGCCGGAACCTGGGAGAGCAGCTCCCTGACACGCTGGTGGGAGCACCGGAAACCAGAAGCTTAGCTTTACAGCGCGTACATGCACACCAGCCACCTGCTCTTCCGGTTTCTAACGTGCATGCATGCACAAAGAGCAGCTGGCCAGTGAGCATGAAGAGCAGCTGGTTGATGCACACATGCACACCGGGGGAGTTGCTCTTCCAGTTTCCGGCATTCCCGCGCATGTGAAGACCAGCTAGAAGAGCAATGGGTGACGGCTGGCATGCCTGGAGATGGCTCTGTGTGCCACTTCTGACACGCATGGCATAGGTTCGCCATCATGGGCCTAGGCTGTCTTCACTAGTCAGCTTGACTCGGGGTATTAGAAACTGTAATCCAACAGGTTCAAATAATTTCTTCCAAAACATTTTAAAAACACAAATATTCCCGATTATTTTACAGTTGATCTTCAAAATGGCACCTGATAAATAAATATGAAGCTAGAGGAACAAAATACTTATATTCATATGCAAGTCATTAAATTATTATGCAATTAAGTTCTTATTGAGAATGAAAACAATAAGATTTTTTATTCCTACTCAATAGTTAGCATCCACTGGGTTATGGTAAATATACTTGCAGTCACATACATACGTCCTTCTTCATTTTCAGGAAAAATATGAATTTGAGAGACAGGATTATTAAGGAATCTTATTCAGATATTTTTTCTTGAACTACAAAAGTAGCAACAATTACTATGATTTAATATTCAAAACCCAAATCTCATTGAACTCAGCTGGACTTGCTTCCAGAAACTCATTTCACAAATATGCTCTAAATACAGTCATCTTGAGTACTTCATTCAGATGCTAAATATTTTCTGCCAAAAATATTTGTCTTTTGAAGAACAAAACCGCCTCGTCTTTCTCCAGCTTTTGGAATTCCTTGTAGGAAACCTTGATGATGACAACAACAAAAAAGAATAGAAAAGAATTAACTGTAAATTAGCACAAATCTTATATCAAAGATAATCATAATGAACCAAGATGGGGAATATTGGAGCTTGTGAGTACATTCTACCACTAACCTTAAAGGGGCCATTCCTGAACCAAAGAACCTACCAGAGGGTTCTAGTTTATCAAGGAACAGTATAAGTGTTAATTAATTATTGCCAAGATGTGTAAGAATATTCATTGCTTTGTGAGGGATCACTGTAAATATTCACAATTTAATATATACAATTTAATATATACAATTGATACAAAATATATACAATTTAATCTAATTATCACTCTGTAGATTCTACATTAGATTCTCCATTGATGTTGACTGGTTATACTAAAAGCAGAAGTAATAGAAGTACCTGCCAAATTCAATTTACACTATATGCACCAGATGTTCACCCCAAGAGATGAACATTGGCATTGTTTAATCTCTAAGGTGCCAGAAGACTCTGCTTTCACTGCAATTGTTTTAACACAAAGTTCAAGGAATAATACTTTCAAGCTATGTTTTAAAGTGATATTTTATGTTACCAAGTAATATCAATACTTTGGACTTGAAAATGGGCTCTAAGTTGATGATACAGAACATACTCTGCATGAAGAAGAAGAAAAAAGATTCTAGGATCACTCTGTGGATCCAGAAATTGACCCATGCAGCAACTTGCAGCACTGTAGCAGATGTATATATACTGTAATATTGAGCTAAAAGAGCCAACTTACACATTAATATAAAATAAGATACTTATACCCATTAAGCCTTTTGATTAAAATTTATACAAAGACTTTGAATAAAAGATCTCAAAAATTTTAATTATTTTCTGCTTAGTGACATAGATGAGTAAACTGCAGAAGTCATTAATTTTTGAACTCATTGCTCCTGATGTATCCCTTTTGCTCTTTAAAAGGAAGAACAAGTTCTAATGTTATTCTCCCTTAATAATTTCAACAGTGTTTTCTTACCAATATAACTTGGTATCCCAGTCGATTTAAATGTCTCATTTTCATTGCCAATCTGCCTTTTGGGTGTCGCGAGGGATTTGAGAAAGCACTTGCAGGTGGGCACAGCACTGCTATCCTGCAAACAATGACAAGATAAATGCCTATAATAATAACATAGTAAATTATAGCAGTCTAAAGAAATAACAATACAGCAAAATAAGGGTGAAAATTCAAAAGGCTCTTCATTTGAATAATTGTAACCAAAGCCTGTTCTATCTGCATATGTACATTGTGTGATTTATGCATGTGTGTGTTTCAGTTAAACACGTCTCCATCTCTTTCTGTGTAGTACCTTCTGCTTTAAACTTCTGTCTTTTAAAGGCTGATACAACCTTCAGCTGAATGCCCATAGCCCTGCTATAAACCTATTGCCTTTAGAATGATAGTTTAAAAAGATAAAGAGAGATCATTCTAATGAATTATTGCGTGTACACATTAAATGTACCTCTATTTTCCAAAGATCATACAGCAGGTACAGAGGGCACCTGCTCAATCCCAGGAAATAACATGGATTCTTTAAGTGTGCCCACATGTACATTTTGCCCTTCAAATAGGGATGTCTGCACAGAGAAATAAATGAAGTTTATTTATCTGCAGATCATGACATCTAAACAAATATGCCTGGAAATTCAGCTATTGAACAACAACTAAGTAAAACATGCTCTCAGATAAAAAAAACCTTTTGAGGTTGGGATCCCCTTTCAGCTGATCTGCTTTTGTGCTTCTCAATGCTATTTTTCGGTTTGTATCCATTAAAATTTCAAAATCTAAAAAAAAATAAAAATCAAACATTATGTTTTTATAAAGGTATACATTCACAATTTCTCAAAATAATACAAGGAAAAATGTATTTGAATAACATACTAAATGCAAATTAATAAAGTTACATTTGTATTACTAACATCAATAAAGAGAAATACCACTCTGTATTTATGGAGAGAAAAAATCACAATTGATTATAAACAATTGAAGTTTGGACAAATTTTTCCCCAATTAGTAAGATTTCAGCAGTGAATTATTCCGCACGTTGAAGCAATGAGGCTATGTAAGCATGGAAACAGAATACATACTATCAGTGAGAAAGGACAGGTGATACAACTGTATTTTTATTAACATGAAAACTTTAAAACAATTTTTTTAAACTGTAAACAAATTTTCTCTTAAAAGGAATTTTAAATTTCTTTTAAAATCTATATACAAGCCTGATTGCCCCATTAACTGCTAAGTTTTTATTTCATTATATTTTATAATATTATGCTTGATATTTTGTATTTGTGAGGGTAGGGCTAGATCAAGGCAATAATAATACTATAAACAACAGCTCAAAGCTAGCATCACAAAAATAATGATTGAAAGTGAATCACTTAATCCCAATGCTCTCTCACAAGCTTTTAATTGCTTTGCCAAATGAAAAGTGCATTTAAATGGAATAACCATAGAAAAGGCCAGCTTCTGGGTTCATCTCCCTTTAAAGTGAGGGCACAGGGCAGTAGGCAAGTAACGTGTACTTTAGCCGTTTCTGTTTATATGTATTTTATTTTTATGTCTTAAATGGTTAGTTATCTCTATAGTGAACATATTTTCTTGCAAAAAATAAAGGGCAAACCTGAAAGTTTCAGCTGGGTATTTTTAAATGTTTTGTGTTTACACTTGTAAAACACTGTTTTACAAAGAAAAAATCAAGAACAAAACCAAGAAAACTCTACAAAAGCACATATTCTAATAAAAATTTCTTTAAAATTATTTATTTTTAAATAAATAAATGTAAATTTATTTTTAAAAAGACAATTCAATTTTCATATTTTTCATTTGTGAAAGGCTGTGCATTAAGTGGGACCATTTGTATAGTAAAAGTTAAATGATCAAAAAGGACAAAAGTAGCATTTGAAAAATGAATAAATTTAAAGGACAACTTTCTGAAATAAAGAATTGTCCTTAAAAATAAAGTACATATAATCACAGTACTGATAGGTATAGGGCAGTAGGCAAGTAACCTGGATTTTAGTCGCAGCAGGGATTTATATGTGGAAAAAATCAGTAAATGCTTTGAATAGCAATAGGTAAGCATCTGGTTCAAGCTTCAAAGCAAATGCTCCATATTGGACAATAACAACACTGTGACATTTCATACCTAAGCAATAACCTTGAGTCAATTGTACATTTGTCTGAAACAAATTTTCATTTTCCAAAAGCGTAAGCAGGGCTTCTTGTATTTCAGGATAACTAAGATCAAGTATTTTCTTTGGTAACGATGATAATTTCTCTGATAAAATTGTTGATGTTGTAGAAGAATTTCCATCAAGTTCTAGACAAACATTTATTGCAGACAACATAGTTAAACTGTTTCCTATATAAAAGAAATTAAAAGGAAAACTGTTAGTCAATGAACTCTGTATCTGCTTGAATAAAGACACGCATATTTTGCCTAAGAAAGAAAAAAAAAGGTTTTCAAATTTAGGAATGAAATACTGGAGATTTGTTCAATTCTGTAAGCCTTTGGGAAACCTCCAAACTGCATCCTCAGTTTCTTCCCTAATAAATTTCAAGTATGTGTAGTGGTTTTCAATGCCTTGAATACAACTAAATCCTGACTATAATTACAAAGACAAACTTGCCAGGAATCCTCTCTAATTTCTTTTTTAAATACATACTTAATTTTGTTTCCAAAACACAGAATAGAACAAAACATAACAGAAGTAAATGTGCTTGGCCGATGGCATAGTTGAAAAGCTGAAATTTAAACTCCGCACATTCATAAGGAAATTGCTGTTGAGGGAGAAAGAGAATACATATTGGAACTTGACTGCTTAATAAAATGTTAACATCTACTTATTCATTTGTTTAAAGTACAGTGTATTCCTCTTATATACTAGTATGGGTAGTCCTCGATGTACAACAGTTCATTTAGTGACTGTTCAAAGTTACAACAGCACTGGAAAAAGTGACTTATGACAGTTATGACCTTTGCCCATAATCATGTGATCAAAATTCAGATGTTTGGCAATTGGTTCATATATATGACCATTGCACTATCCCAAGGTCATTTGATCAACTTTTGCAAAGTCAATGGGGAAACCAGATTCACTTAACAACCAGGTTACTTACATATCAACTGCAGAGACTCACTTAACAACTGTGACAAGAAAGGTCGTAAAATGGGGCAAAATTCACTTAACAATATTTTGCTTAGCAACAGAAATTTTGGACTCTACTGTGGTCATAAGTCAAGGACAAGATGTATATAGTTGTTTTGACCTAGGCTTCACAAAATCACAAAGCAGACTCTTTGTCCCGACAAAACCCCTTTTTATTAGGCTAATGTGAATTCCTATCATTCACATCCAGCAAAGTCTTTCAAGAGTGAATTTACAATCATAGACCTTATCAGGCTTGGAGAGCTGCCAGGCTGACATCTTCCAAGCGCAATGCTTTACAAGAAAATACTTGGCAAAAGAGTCTCTGAGAGTCATGAACAGATCTTCATACTAATTAAATGAACTAACTGTCTCCTGCAAAACCCTCTCCTTTTGCTCCTCTTTATTGCCTATGGGAGGGGCCATTCACGGTCCACTATGCCTTTACTCCTGAGTTGACCCTTGTTCCGTAATGTTTCCTTCTCCTGGCAGCTTTGCGCATGCGCACATCGGAAACAGGTTCCACTGTTCTTCTACCAGGCATTCTTGCCAAGAAAACTGAGGGACTAGTCCCACCATCAACCACAGCCTATACTATCCACAGCACAAGTTGTTGCTGCAAAAGTATACAATAGACACACAAACATCACATTAGGTAGGATGTTACAAACTTTCATGCATACATACATGCTAAGACATCTATCTCAAGACTGTTTTGAAAAAGGAGGTCTTTAGCAGCACTGTTGACCAGAAATTGTTGAACTCACCTACATCAAAGTTTCAGAAAATCCCAGAACATCTCAACAGACACAATTATAACCATTAACTGATAAAATAGTAATCTGTCTCATGCAAACTTAACTTGCACAAACAACCTATTTGCCCACCAGACCTCTCCTCAATTTAAATTCTACGTACATCAGCCTGGCCACTTTTCCTTCCTCATAAGGGACACTAGTGGATCTTGTACTTGAAGAAAGATTCAAAACTGTTTTTCCTGCTTTGGCTTTGGATCTGAATTATCTCAGCTTGAGACGTTATTTCTTCTTTTCAAGAGCTTGGACTGTTCTCATGAGATTCAAACATCATGCTCTTTAATTTCCTCTTGCCTCGGATCCGCAGTGTGTCCAAGTGTTTCAACTTTAAGTATACTTGGCTACAAAGCTTATAGATTGAATTAAAATGAGTAGCTCAAAGTTTAATGCTTCTTTTGGTTCAATTTCAGATTGACTTATAATTAATCAGACTGTCAGTTGAGCAGCCAACCTCTTTAGATTAAGCAGGAATCCAGGGATCTTTCTTCCAGTTAGGGACAATGCCTTAAGAGAAGAATATTTCTTCCCCTAGGTTCAAAATGTATAGAAGGGATACATAAAATTTCTTGCTTATCAATTATGTTTTAACGAACGGTTAAATTATATTTTTCAAGAGTCATGGAACAAGAGGAAACAGTCAGCAGTTAATATCCCTTCATGTTGCCCTGAAATCTCACAATTTTTCCTCTCATCATCCTGCTTCTCTGTCATGGTGTGACTTTTTTTTTATTTATACAGTGGGATGAGTCTATCTTTAAGCAGGATGATCACTTCAGAAAAATTGAGGTGGCTTTTTGGGGGGAGAGATCTTTTATTTTGTATAGGTATTTTTATAACAGTTAGGGGAAAATCACAACTATTTACACCAGAGGGTCCAAATTTCCCAATATCTTACTTTTTCTACCTATCTCCCAGAGATATTTGCTAATAGAAAACCCCCTGGTTGCTCAAACATTTTGCTCCATCTTTCTCATCCTTCCCCCTTAGTTTTTCACTGAGCGAAGGATAAGAAGGGAATTGACTGAATTATTTTGTGTGTACTTAAAGCCCTAATTCATGGAGTTTGGGCCCTCAATTGGCATCTCTCTGCATTGACACTGCATCCAGTCTAAGGCTTCCTCAAGGGCTCCTAGGATCTAACAGCTGTCTCTCTCTGATCCTGTTTGCCTTGGGTTTTGGGGTAAAGGACATTCATTTATCTTAGTCTTCTCTTCTCCCAGGGAAGCCTCCAGCCAATGGCTTCAGGCTTCTCCCACTAGGGTACACTTCTGCCCTGTTTCTCAAGGCCATACCTGATTCTCTGCCATATGCTACACTTCCTTACTAGGTTCATTGAATTTTTGTGGTCTTTAAGAAGTTCCAATAAAGACATCACCATGATACAGATTTTAGGATACTAATGAACAGTGCAATACTAAACTGATCATTTTGAAAGAAATATGGGTAATAGTATAAAACCGAAAGTGGGTATTTCATTTACCTTTTATTATACAACAAATTTATATATGTTAGCTTATCTTCACAGAAAATTAAATAGATATGATCAACACAGATTAAAAATAAAAAAAATAAAAATTAATCTCTAACCTGATTTTAGTAGATCACTGATAATTTCCTCTTGAAGCAGTTGATTAAGAGCAAGTTGGGGGAGATATCCAGCAAGACAGAATGAATATACAACTCTTAGTAAATCCATATTATCAATCTCATGTAGATGTTCATTCAATATACTATTCAGAGAGTCAAGAAACCTTTAAAAATGGAGGTAAACAAATATATAAATTCCCAATAGGCTAAATAAATCTACAAATACTTGGGGTTTATATACATACATATATACTCACAGCTGAATATTCATGAAATAAATTAGGAAAATGTCTACATATCGCAATTTTGCAATAGGAACTTTCTTCCACAAGCAAAAGCAAATGCATAGCTCATCCATCATGTTCAGATTTGTTTAGTATTAGCATCTCTTCTAGAACAAATTATGTGTTTGTAATTACCTTTCAAATTAAGAATACTTGTATTATAGTAGTTTTATAAATAATAATTATATCTCAATTTTTAATATTAATTTTCAAAGGGAATGCACTTGACTATGATCTGTTTTTATCCAGGTAGTCAGTTGTTAAGCAAACTATAATAGCATCAGCACCGCCCATGATTTTTATAGGACATTTATCACATTGATGCACTGATGCAAATGTGTGGTGAATGTAAACCAACCAACCTGGCATATTTGAGCAAGATGAATGAAGCCTGAGTGATGGCGATCCTTTTTAAAAAGACACATTTAATTTTTAAAGAAGGAATGATGATGCCTTAGGGCATAGACTACTTGACCCAACACTTATGCCGCAAAAAGAATATCTACAGAGGGGAAGGGATTTACAGGTTATTCAAGCATAAGGCCGGTACTAAAAGAAAGCCAGGCTTATGGAGACTCTGTGAGAGAGGGAGCCAAAAGCCACTTAAGACTGATTTATAGTTAACTGTAACCACTTAACCGCAACCACCTGTAGCCATCATTGCATACCTACACTGCAAAGGGCTTGATCGGTAAACAAAGGTTGCAAAGGGCTACAGATGGACCAACGCAAACACCTCCTGAATCCCAATTGCACATTGTGCAGAGATAGGCACCCTGCATTTTGATTGGTTCCTACTTCCTGCTGGAAGGAGGAAGAATGCAAGACACATTCAAGCAGGAAACATTAACATTTGCTGACATATAAAAAGAATGCCTATGCAACTATCTCTGAATGACAGATGCATATGTTCCCTTATGGGCAGTGCTGGGGAAGTTTCCTCCAGGCTTTAGCCCAAAGATGGCAAACCTTTTAGAGACCGAGTGCCCAAACTGCAACCCCCAACCCATTTATTTATCACAAAGTGCCTGTATACTGAGATTTTAGTTTAGAAAAAACAACTCATACATTAACATCTTAAAAGAGAAACACAATAACAGAGCTTTCAATGATACAAACAACTTTTGATATTTACAATTTCAAGCCCACCTCAACCATAAATGTATTTAATTATGTTTTTACATTCTGAACTGTCCATCTCCCTCAAAGAGGGAATCTTGCTGATGTCAGCTCTGTACCCAAATACATTTGGACATCATTAATAGAGGATTTGAACCCCAAAACCAAACACAGCCTTCCCATTCATTTTACACAGGGTCATTGATGATAACTGAAGTAATCCATCCATCCTCCTTTTGTTTCAGAGAGTAAATTATGATTCTAATATACTTTGTTGAGATTCTCACTTGGCAATGACCAAAATGCTTAGTTTGTACAACATGCTGGGCACATAGAAGATCTTATTAGGCAGGTTGTGTTAACAGCTTCATCACATCTGTCTGAAGAAACACAACCTACCACAAATTCCATTGTGCCTTAATATGAAGTATGATCCCAATCTAGAACTTGCATCAATGAATATGTTTAATGTCATGTTCATGCAACATGTCATAGTTTGCATAACTGATTTGCTCAAAATAGTCAAGTTTGTTGACTTTGCCAAACCAAAAAATCCCTTTATGACTTAGGAGTGCTATATGGATGAGGCTTGTAGTTGTACGTATTTACAAATTAAATCAAGATTCAGGGTGTGACTTTACCACAGTAGCCAAATTAAGACACGAGAGAGCCTCAGAAAAACCACATCAAAACTTAACACAACACACCATTAATTGAAAAAAAAAATCCATTAATTTCTTGATATCCCAAATTAACACATGATTTAGTTTGCATTTCTGATAGGATTACTATAGAGCATGAATTCCAAGTGGCAGTGAGATCACTACTTTGCTCATTACATTGAACACTATAAAGAGTTGAGGGTACAAAATAAGGTTGAAAAGAAGGTCCCACAAACTGTCCAGGACGAAACGTTTTTTAATTGTCTCTGAATTTTCTTTTTCACTTTTTCTTCTTTATTTCTTTTTTCTCTTTCACATTTATGCATGTGTTTATCTGTTTTAATTGTAAAATTAATAAAGTTTATTTTAAAAAAAGAGCTGAGCCTATTAATTGACAAAATGTCCCGTTTAATTCAGCATTTTAAGGCAATGTTCTCAGGGAGTTTTGCATATCCAGTTTTCCAGTTTCTGCAAAAAAATATTCCAGCCCCAAATAATTACCATATCTTGTTAGAGTTTATTGCAGAAATCAAATCCAGAAAGCACAAATGACTGATTCAGCAGGATTTACTAACTTCTTTATATACATAATAAAATGAGTAAATTGTACAATACCAATAGTAGAGTCTTCCAACGTGGTAAGTAGTTACAAGCAAAACACAAGCAGCAGCTTCAGGGCTCAGACCTTAATACCGTGGCCCTTTCCTGAAAGAACTGAGCAGGGATTTAATTCTAACAATGTTTCCCCCCCTTCCTAATATTATTTTCAGATGGGCAGCAAATTGGAAAAATTGGCTTTAAAAAGCTGCAGCTTGGAGGCATGACCCTGCCCGTTTTGGAAGAAGGCCATGCCTCTCAGGCACTTCCACCTCCCCTGGTAACCAAAGCATGAGGTTGCCCAGCTCTCTCTTGCTCTCTCTCCGCCTTCAGGACCTGGCTGAGCAAGGGCTGTTTATGACACTGCCTGATGGGCCTGTGACCTTGGTGTTTTTTTCCTCTGAAAGTGAAGGGCTTGAGAAGGGATTTGGTGCAGCCCCGGTGGGATCAGGCATCTTGTGGGGTAGCCTAGGGGGTGGGGTCCTTGTCCTGGCAGAAAGTGAGAGGGAGGGGAGAGAAGAGCCTGACGGAGCTGGAGCTATGCCGGGGCGATGGTGTGCCCATCCACAGAGAGGGCTCTGAGTGCCACCTCTTGCACACGTGCCATAGGTTCATTAGCACTTGTTTTAGTCTGCCAATGCCCTGTAAGCAGCAGTTTAACAACAGTACCTGGATACTTAGAGCAGCCCAGGCAAGGAAAGAGCCTTTTTCTCTTTTCTCCTGATGAATGAGAGGCTACTCGGAAGGCTACCCTGAAAGGGAAACCCAGATTCAGGAATTATGCAGACCAAGCCAGCTCCCCCTTCACATTAAAAATATTGTTTCTACTACTAGGACTAAGTCCAAAAAAATGGGGTTTAAGGCTTTTTCTAATATTAAATTTTGCCTGATTTGTTATAATGACAGACTTTCCTTATTAGATAGAAACTCCTATTGTTTATTTTGATTGACCATTCTTATTATATCAACTACCTCTATTAGTTACCAAATATGGATTTGATTTGGTTGTAACACCCTGGCTCCTGGTTTGAAGGGGTGGTGGACCCTAAGAGATGTTTTTCTTTGTTAAGTGACTGACTTTTCTTGGACTCTCTTTTAATTATATATTCCATCAGATTTCTTACTGTATTTTGTAAGCTACCAAGAGTTGTAACACATTGAGGCACCCTGTAAATCTCAAGGAAGGAAGGGAAGGAAGAACGGAGGGAATGAAGGAAGGTCATATTTATATGCATCATATATCTAATGTTATTATGAACATTATTCAATTTTATACAGCCTGTAAATCTATTTTCTATTTTCCTCTTCATTTTTGTCCTTTCACTTCTTTTTTATTCTTTTGACTTGGTTCCCCTTTCAAACATTTGTTAAAATCAAACAAAAAGAAAATTAAAATTAAAATGCTTATGTTGTTTTTTGTTTTACCTGGGGAGGGCGTAATGTGTTATCATATACATCCTTTACTGGATTGTGATAATCCAAAATTTGAGAACCTACTCACACCATTAAATGATTCTATATATTAATTTGGTGGCAAATTTGAGATTATTCACAAATGACCAGAAATGTATCAGAAATTATTTCTGAAATGAGTATTTACTAAAGAATAACTTACTCTTGGTTTTGGACGCTGGAGAAGTGATTGAGATTAGAGTAGGCTCGCAGAATAATTATAACATCTTTCAGGTTCAAAGATTCTGGGTGAAGCATTACTTCCTCCAGGAATTTATCCATTAGTAGGACTGGATGAACACTAAGATTTTCAAAAGCTGAAAGTAACAGAATTACCTGAAATCAAAAGGAGAAGTTAAAGTAACACATATATATTGAGACAACTGTATTAAGAGGATTTTTTTAAAAAAAAATAGTCAAAAATGTTGTTGGGCCTGAGAATATACAACTGAAAAGAGAAACAAATTACTGTTTGCTTTCCTGCATCCCTGTTCCACAATCCTTTTTTCTATTCTAAGCTTTTGGGGCAAATTTCTCCCCCTCTGTCTTTTGTGAAATAATATGAAACTAATCTGCTACAAATCATTTAAAACCAAAGTTGCATAGCCTGGTTGCATTCTCTAAAGCCCAACTTCTTAAAGACTTTTCAAATTGTAATTTTTCATAATACAGAAAGAAGTTATGATATGCATCAGGCTAACCTGTCAACTCATAAAGCATTCCTGGCCTGCATAACCATTAATTTACTTTAAATTTATTTCCAATTTAAAGCAAAATGGCTGGGGAAAATACCCCTAGAGAATGTGAAAGAATTGTGCCTACAATTTGCTGTTCAGAACACATAGTGCCAATCCAGTGTCTCTTCTCTCCCCCCTCCCTCTTTTTTTTTCTTTTTCAACTGACTGCCAGCCTCACTGGAAACTCAATTGTAACATGGAAGAGAATTGTCTTGGGGAGTCAGATTAAACGGTCTAAATTTATCTTCTATTAAGAACTTAATAAGTATTATTTCAACATGTATACGATGAAATAGATGTATCTATTTCTATTTGATTATATTTTCTGGTTTTATCACTAGTGGAGGGGTGAAATTTTATAAGGACTTATTATTTCATTGTCACTATATTTTCTAATCATGAGCTGCATTGGAGACCTTTTTTAATTGGATGGCAAAGTACCAGTGTTGTCAGCTTTGGAAGCCATATTAGCGCCAGAAGCTTCCACGCTGCCACATTCTTGTGTGGGAAGTTGGGAGGGGGAATTTCATAGAGTGTATGTGGTTAGACATAATAGCATTCTTCTTTAAAGTCAAGGTCATGTTATTCCTGCACCTGGCTGAGGAGTAGTAGAGGGGATGTCTCAAGTTGGAACGGATGGTGATTGGGGCATGGGTGCAGGGGGTAGATTTGTAAATTTTTAGTTATTGGAGGAAAACCCAGAATTTTCAGATTCAGGTTTTCCCAGATCTGCCAGTATGACTACTCTAATAAAAGGAAACTTTGAGAAAATGCCTGTCTTGGAGTTTTTAATTGGAGTGTTTTTTTCTGGAACGCTGACAAGTGTATTTCTAAACACATGGAAGAATGAAATCTGTCCCAAATAACTAGACCACAAAACATCATATTCCACTGAACATATTTAAATCCAGCCTTCCAGTTAAGAAATCCTCTTATATTTAAATTTTTATTTATATCTTTCCTAACTATTTTCACTTTCCTGATAACTTCTTCAAATAAACCAATTCTACATTTCTAAACTTTTTAGAACTTAGTATTATTTATCAAGTAGATGAAAAAAAAACCTTTGATTCACATTATTTATAGTCCAGCATAATCTGTGAAATTATAGACAGATTAAGTATATTGTCCACATTGCAACCCCTTTCTCCATTCTTATTTGCAGTTACAGGGACTATCCTAAATAATACCATGAATCTAAAATAAAATTTAATATTAACATTTTGTGAGAATGCCAGTAATACGAATAGTGACATTCTACATATTTACCTCATTTCTGTTCCATGTATAGAAGACTGATGCAGCATAATCAGCTAATGCAGAATAAAGTGTCCTATTTTGATATCTTAGTTGTTTGCCAGTTTTCAAAACATTCAGCAGGTTCGAAAATTGAGTTCCTTCAATGTTTTCTAATGCATACAAAGAAAACTAACATTTGAAATTTACTTGGTTGATAACATTTGTAAAAACATTTGTGCTTTGAGTTTGTAAAAAGAAATGACATGATCAATCCTGAAGCAGAGGTTGATTCAGCCTTCCTTCCTTCCGAGGTCAGTAAAATTAGGACCCAGTTTGTTGGAGGCAATATGCTGACTCTATAAACCGCTCAGAGATGGCTGTAAAGCACTGTGAAGAGGTATATAAGTCTATGTGTTATTGCTATTACTATGTCCACTACTTATTGTTAAATAAAATCAAAAGGCCCCTTCTGCTGCTTTAAAGTAGTCTAAGCATTATCTTTCTGAGCTTATAATTTTCACTATAAAGTCTAGTTTTATGAACAAGTCTAGTTTTATGAACTATAAGCCAAGGCTGAAATTTCCAGATATAAGTGGTCTTCAACCATAATTGAGCCCAAAATTATGGTTTTAATTGTGCTGGTTGTTAAGTGAACCCAATGTCTGCAACAGACCTTTTTTTGCCAGAAACCAGAAGTAAATGCCCATTCTTGGCAAAAAAATATGTTACAAATTGCAGGCACTTGATCACAGGATGCTATGGACATCTGCAGAAAAACAATCAAGCTCAGAGAACCCCAAGAACTCAACAGTTCAACCATAATCCACATATACTCCCTATTTTCTTGTTCTGCTCTTCATAAGCAGATATTTCTATGTAAAGTCTTATGGCAAATTTGTCATGACTTACCTATTATAGTCTTACTACAATTATTCAGGATTGGAACAGAGAGATAGTCCATTTCACCCAATACTCTGAACATTTGAAAAGCATTTGGAACTGTAAAGTGACCCATCAGATTTAACATCTTGTTCTAAATTGAAATAAATTTCAAATTAGCCAGAAGTATCATTGGCTTACAAGAGAAACATTATAAAATTGTTTGTTATCACAGAGTTAATAAATATCTTTCTCCTACTTTTGATTTGAAGATTTCAAGTTTTGAAAAAGTAATCAATAACTTCATTTTTGTTATTTAAAATGCCATTTACACCTGAATACCTATTTTTGATTTTCTATATAGTTATGATGATTTCATAATTATGTTCTTTTAGTCTTTAAACTTACTTATGCTGTTATTTTGATATTTATTTGTATTATATTTATATATATATATGGTTAGCCATCTGGAATTGCTGTGATGAGATGGACAGCCATATAAATTAAATAAATAAAAATATGTTTTTTCTATCAAAGCTCTTGTAAAAAAATGAACATGGAAATAATGAAATCACTTCTGTTGCATCACAGCTGTAAGGATTAATATGTAATATTTATTTATTTATTTATTTTATAGAGTTCGACTTACTCCAAACTCAGTCTGGGCAGCTCACATAAAAAAGCAAGAAATAAAATAGAAAAACAGATCATGGTCACCCAAAAGAAAAACTATAAATATTAAGTAAAACATAGGATTCAACAAACACCCTGTTCTAAGGTCTATGAGAATAGCTAAACGTTGAAAGACTTCTGGAAAATTATCTGTGTGGGAGCCACTACATTTTCTTTTTTGGGGGTGGGGGCGGATGCTGTTCTAGAGAGCAGGTGCTATGACAAAAACAGACTTCTTGATAAGAGCAGTACCCAGAGACCTGTCATACCTCTTGCATAGCTGATTTTTCTGGAAAGGCAGAAATAATCAAAGATTGGTAAGTTAATCAGGCTCTTTACTATATTTCATGATTCATAGCGACATTCATAGCTCTTAAGATGAATGATTTTTTACTCTGTGATGATAAAAGCAATGATACCTGCATGTATATTTATACAAATTAATGCAATAATTAAATTCACAGATGAAAGAATAGTATTTTTTACCTCCAAATTTTTCTTAAGTGTCAGTGGTACATCCTTCCCGATACTACGCATTATGGTTTGCAATACAAACACGTTTGATATTTTGTGGACTTTGTCTTGTAAAAGTAACCTGTTAAGATAAAAAACTCAGAAAAACAATATATAATGGACATAAACTAATGGAGCAGGTATCTTTGTATGCATGTGCTTTACATACATACACAAAGACTGATACTATACATCTTCCAATTGAAACAAAATGCATTTAAGCATTAGGAAGATTAAATTTGCTAGATTTACTATACACAATTGTGGATTGGAAATTTCTACAGCATCTCCTAAACCTGTCTGTTTGTCACACTTGGATAAGTTGCCAGTGTCGTATATTTCCTTCAATTACCGTATTTTTCGTGCTATAAGATGCAAATTAGCTTTGGAGGAAGAAAACAAGGGGAAAAAAATCTGTCTCTGCCTCCCAGCATCTATCTGGTATTCATCTGGCTAGCATCCTTGCAGCAAAGAGCAGACAGCCTGGTCAGTTCAGCACGTTATTGTAGCCCCAGCACATGGCTTGTCAGGGCTCCACTCCATTGCGCCCACCACCAGCCAACTGAGCCAAGCTGCCGCTGCCACCAGGAAATGCTGGAGCCTTCGCTGCCGATTAGGTTGGATGGGCCTCTCAGAATACTGCTGATAAACTGTTCAAGGCAGTGGGGATGACCATCACCGCCTATCGCCCTCTGCTTGCTGTCACTGCCCATTGGCGATGATCGGGTGGTGGAGATCGGCGGAGGCAAATGGGCAGCAGCGAATGGGCGGTGGTGATCTTGGCCGCCTAGAATAGCTGATTGGCGGTATTCTAGGAGGCCGATCCAACTGCCAATCAGCAGGTTGACAGCAAAGGCACCAGCGTTCCCCGCTGGCATCGCCGCACCAACCTCCCTCCCCCGCCGCAATATTCACTCTATAAGCCGCACAGACATTTCCTCCCACTTTAGTGGGGGGGGGGGGAAGTGTGTCTTATAGTGTGAAAAATATGGTACTTTTGTGTCACATACCTGGTTTACACAAGCATGATTACATTTTTCATTCCATGAAAGTTCTATAGAGTTAATACTAGAGTTTGGGAGAAAGTATTTATGTTTTGATTTTAAAAATATTGTCACTAAACATTATGAAATAAATACCAATTATGGTATTAGTTTTCAGTCTGATGTTACTTTGTCCCAAATCAATCATTGATAATATTTACTTGCAGAGATATGCACAAGTTTAAGAAATCTGAACAGCAGTAAGTACATTTTCACAAAATTGTATATACCGGTAGTGTCTATATATTTTAAATTCCTAATCTTTTTTTTAATTGAGCTTTTGAAATTATTTGGGTCAAGGAAAATCCAAGAACTGTTTCAAATCTAAATTAAATCACTGGAATTGCCACCATCTTGTTTCCTTAATTCTTCCCAAGTCAGAAGTTATGCTAAGGTATTTTGAAACCTGAAACTTTTCCATTAAGCTCTACTTGAGTAAAAAATGAAGACATGGGAAAAAAAAAACACAACAATTTATATCCTAATCTTCTTTCAGAGGAGCCCATGGTACTTTATAGTAAAATCAAGAATGTTAAAAATAAATAAATTCCAAAATTAAAATAAGGTTCATTCTTTTTAAAAAAAGATATAAAATACTAAGTATTTTAAAGGTCTGGATGAACTGCAGATCTCTAATTATTTTATGAAGACATCAGGACGATCAGTTGTCATTGAGAAGGATTTACTGCTTGCCAATGAATTATAAACAAAATCCATTGTTGGATCCACAAGGAAGTCTTTGAAGCTGATCCAAAAGCATGAGCTGGATAGTATTAGCAGATAAGATTGTGCATTTTGACCAGTGATGGTATTCTGCCAGTTTGCACCGTATTGGGTGCAAACTCTCCTGAGTGGAGAGGTAGGGTGAAAGAAGTGTGAGGTGCTTCAAGGGAGGTTGGAGAGGCCCAGTGCAGGCTGTATGTGACTGTCTCTCCACTCAGGAACTGAAAATTCTGCTTGGATTTTGCCAGATAGGATTTTCAGCTCCTACATAGAGCCTCCCAAGGTCCGCCCACCCCCCCAACTCCACAAGGCATCCCACACTTACCTGGGACACTGTCCACCTAATGAGCCCTGTGATCACTTAAGAACCACAACTGGGAGTACCAGGTTGTTGAGCGAAATGATAACATCTTGCTTAACAACTGCTTCACTCAACAATTCCACTCCCAATTAAGGACTATTTATACCGCAACCCAGTGTACATGGGGTTACTCTCAAAAACTGCCAGAATCTGCAACTGATGCAAAATGCAGGGGCCAGGATGCTACCTGTTACATGGATCATATTATCTATAAGATCCATACTGAAAGAACTGCACTAATAGTTGGTTTTCTTATCTAATTGGTTGGAATTGACCTTCAAAGTTCTAAACACTTTAGTTAGTGCCAGTCTATAGTGGGAACTATACGTCCCATTATGAACATGCCTTCTTTGACCAGTATCACGTTTTAATAAAATTTAATTATCTAGTAGGCCGGAAATGCCTTGCTTTGCATGGGCCCCAGGATCTGGAATGGGCACCCTAAGGAGATGTATTTGGCCTCCACTCAGCCAATACTTACGAACATTAAAATTACAGCTTTTACACCAAACTTAATTATTCATTTTCAATTCTGATTTTAGTTGTATGTAATAGATGATTGACAGACAGATAAATATAGATATGTTCTCTAATAGTGTACGATACCTTTATTATTGGGGAAAAAATTAAAGTTGGATAAACAAATATCCTGAAACAAATATAAATGGACAGCCTGGATATGGACACTAAAATTTCCCAGGAATTACACCAGAAGTTAATATAAGATAAATGGAAAAAGTATCCTGTTAATTTTTTTCTGTTATATCTTAATCTGAATCATGGTATGTTGAATTTGGTGCAGGAAAATAAAAATTGATCTTATGTATATTTGTCAGTAATTCTCCATGAGCTCAATGTGGCTTGTTTCTATATAAATTCCATTTTACATTCTGAACCAATTTTATACAAAGTTTCAATTCATATTCAACCTCTTTAATTTAATTTTCAAGTATCCTATTGAATATTTAATAATTTTAAATTTACAGTTCTAAACTCTCATTCCTTTTAATTATGGCCACATTTTGGATGCATCACTAAATTCAACCTCATATACTACCTCTGCCACCAATTCCCTTTCTCCTTGCACTATCACAGGGAGAAAAAAGTTCCCAGTTTCAGTGAAAATCTAATGAGTATTTCATCTGAATGCTAAACTATGATTAATTTTAATCTTTAGTTTACTAAAGAAACCTATAATTTGAACTGGAATTAAGACTAAGCTCAAGATGTCTCAATTCAGATATACACTGCAATAAGTTACAACTATTTAACTAGGAAGAAACTTGTCCTACAAGTGTGCCCAATAACTGATGAATACCAATGTACCAACTTAACTAAAGTCTTTTCTTACTGTAGTCCAAGTTGAAGAGCTTCCACATTCTTGGATTTTTCCATGACTTTCAAAGTATTTGCAATAATTGAGATACATCGATCATTGAATTCATTGACACGTTCCTATTAAAAAATTCAAAAGTCATTTTAGAAAATGTTCATGGAAAGATAAAATTATAGGCCCAAGGAAAAATTAACAAAGCAAATTCTACTATTTATTTAATTATTAAATTCATCTTCTGCCTATCTCGCCATGGGACTACTCTGGGCAGTTTAAAATAATAAAAAGGAAGAAAATAAAAAAAAATGAAACAGAACACAAGACATCAATATGATAACAAAAGGATGGATGGGCAGAGAGCAGAGAGTAAGGGGGGAAGTGAATTCTGCCATCAATCCAGCAATCCACCTCCAAAGTGGAACTCTTCTGTATGGTGCCCAGGCCAACTGGCAGCACCAGGCTTCAGGCTCTCTGTGGAATAATAGGAGCGGGGGGAGCAGATCTTAGTGGGTAAAATGTTTCAAAGGGCAGGCCCTGCAGTACAGAAGACTCTTCATCTGGATCCCAACAGAGTTCTTTGTCCAACGGGATCTGAAGTAGCCCCTCTCTGCTAGCACACATAAGATGGGCTTGTCCTAATGGGACGAGGTTATTGGCAAAGAGCCACAATGTACAGTACCACATTTGTAAGTGCTTTATTATTTGTACAGTGAGCATTCTCAGTTTTTCTAACATTAAAAAAGAACACATGTTTTACTGCATAACCCTGCTCAATATAGGGCTCCATGCAGTATGCTGCTAGCATAAAGGCATTTCCATTTCTTTTCTAGGGAGTGCAATCAGGGTTCGGGCTGTTCTGCAGAAAAGCCATACAGGGAAAGGGATAATGTCAATGGAGCCAATAAAAGTGGCAATTCCAACTGTGCTCTCATTGCTGCTAACCATTCCAACCTGGCTATACCTCAATAACTCTGTTCCCATTTTCCCTGACTCTTTGAACCCAAATGAAACCATTACTCACTACAAATAACAGAAATGACTTAAAGCAATACCGTAAATTATTGAGAACCTAAGAGGGAGGGTTGGGATAATAATCACACTGTAGATCAATTTAAATGACTTTGCATAGTTCATTTGAATTCTATTAATGTCAATAAGACTACTTTAAAAATAAGATTGCCAAAACTTTTTTCTTTTCTCTTTGTCTTAACAATTAGAACATGTAAACATTATCCTAAATATTTTGTTTCTGGATAGTGAGTCAATTATGGCCTAATTAGTATTAGTCATAATAATTATAAAGCAGTAACCGTCCACACTTGTGAATCAGATACATAAGAAATACATAGCCAGTCCAGGAATTTAACCCCAGAGTAATAGGGTAAGCCAACTTTTGTTAAGGTCCCTATTTTCTCAGTGATAATCTGTTTTGGGTTGCATTGTAGGCAGGCTGAAACAAGTAATAGATAAGGCCGGAGCCAAATAAGTAGTAAGGAATAGGACAGAGAATTCTTTCCAGTCTAAACAAATCTCTTGCATACAGCTCATTTTGAAACTGGTCTAAAGAAGGCATGTTATTCCCAATTATCTTCAGTTAACAAATTGCCCACTCATGTGCTACAGAGAAGTTCAAACATGCTAAATTATCTCCCATGCTTACATGTCCCAGCTAACCAAATCAGCTGTTCTTCCACATAAAAACTCTTGGGCACCTGCAATGAATGATTGCTAGAGTCCAAGTAAAAGGGTTCTGCCATTTTTGTCTATTAGCTGCCATAAAGACATCAAAACAAAAGAAAGCTCCTTCAATTCTTTCGTATCTTTTTATCCATCCACATACATGGTGTTTTTGTTCTAGGGCTGCCCTAAAATTCAACCTTTTTCTGGGACATTCTTTATAAATACCATTTCTAGTCTAGATTTAGTCTAGATTCCAGACCTGATAGTTTCTGGAAGACTCCTGGGTACAAACTAGGCCCAATTCTGATTGATTAAGTGATGCATCTGGCCAGTGATGCATATCAGTTTGGAAATAAGTCCTAAATTCAGTTCTATTTTCAAATAAAGGAGTATAGACTAAATCGTAAATCAATAGTGGCTTTTTCAATGCATAGATAATGAAACTGAATGTCTTAGGTTAGTTTTTTTTAAAGACAAAAGATTATATATGAAGTCTAGAGGCATACCAAATAATAAATTTTAACTTTTTAAGCCAGAAGTGTTCCTTATTTTAAAACATCCTTAAATTTTGTCTAGATTGTTTTTTGCTTACCTGGCAAGTCCTCAGTAATGTCTGAACTAACAAGGTATTTTGTGGAACTCCCAATTTTACCACAGAAAGTAGTGTGTGTGCCAAATCATTGCTATCTATGTACTTTGCATTATCCATCGTATACTGACAGAGCTGTCGAAACTGAGGATGTTCAAGCATCATCTTTGTCTCATCATATTTCTGATTCTTAAGTATATTTTTTTTAAGCATCCACATAGTTGAAAAACAGTTACTGACATACTTTGAAGAGACTTGACTTCTTGCAGCAATGTCTAGTACATCACAAGGAGATACACATTTTTGAAGGTCACTGAAAAATTGCTGGGAAATGTCGAATTCATCCCTTTCTTCAATGGTATTTCTAACCTCCTCTGAGGAATTCAACTGAACTGGTTTCAAGTTCTGCTCATGGTCAAGATCATTAGTTATTTTCTGCTCATTTGAATCACTGCTCCCAACATAAACAAAAGTATTTTGAGAATTAATTGAAATAGAAGAATGAAGCCAGCAAGAAGGAACATACAATGGACACTGAATACTTTGTGCAGAATTTTTATGTCCACTAATCCCAAATGCAGTTGCTTTGATTTCTTTTCTAGGAAAAGATCTCCCAGCATTGTGACATGCCTGTAGCCTTATTGATCTTATAAAATATTCCAGTTTCCTGTTCATCTTGCTGTTTCTTTACAATATCTTGTCTGGAAAAACTTATTTGACCCTAAAGAAGAAAATCAGAATACAGCTGTTTAACATAACATTAAGTGAATTCATTAACCAGTACATGAAGTCAATTGCAATCAGTTTAAGGTGGTGTTTTGTTTTGTTTTGCTGCAAGTAATACAGTCATCTGTTTTCCAAATGAAGTGCTAACCTAACTAAATTTAAAATAATAATGAGAGGGCTGAGTACTGCAAGACTGAGCCAACCTGGGCCAAAATTTCCCAAATGAGACAAAACTGTGAACCCTTAGATTTAGTACAGTATTCAGGCTGGCTTTCAGAATTTGTACTTTCACCCAAGTAAATGCGACTGCAAACTCTGAAAGCTATTCATGGCTTGGCCTCTAAATATTGAGTTTTGTCTCAGTTGGGAAATTTCTTGAATAAACTGTTGTAGAAATAAAGAAAATGAAGCTGTTTTCTTGCTTGGGTATTTTTTTTAAAAATCTACTAGATCTCATAAGCTAATTTTAAAATAAAGGTTAGCAGTCTTTTTTTTTTAATCACATTTTAATTACGTTTACAGGCCCATGTAAGAATTACACTAGCAAGTAAATGTGTTCATTTCTTCGAAAACTGGAAGCTTCCCAAGAGGCAATAAACAATGGAGGAAGAAAGACAAAACATTGCCTACAACAGTGGTCGCCAACCAGTGGGTCGGGGACCATTGGTGGGCCAGGGACCACCGGTGGGCTGTGAGAAAAGTTTGGTAGTCCGCAGAGAAATGTCACCCCCAAAGCAATTAATCCAGGCTGCGTGGGAACACAAGGCTGCGCCACCCACATGGCCCTCAGGAACACAAGGCTTGCGTTGTTTGCATTGCGAACACGAGGTAGTGAGGGGAGGGGGGAAAGGGCGGAGGAGGGAACTTGCCCCACTCGCCTCGCCACCGGGCTGCTTCTTTCCACTTCTTTCTTCTTCTGCTTTTGGCTGCACTCAAGGAAAGCAGCAAAAGTCTTTCTTTCTTTCCCCCAAACTCTGCCAGAAATCAGTCTTTGGGACCCTGCAAGGCATCCTGCACCAAGAGGCTGTGCCAGCACAACAAGTCTCACAAAGACTCACTTCTGGCAGAGTTTGGGGGAGAGAAAGAAAGACTTTTGCTGCTTCTGCTGCTTTTCTTGCATGAAGCCAAAAGTCTCTCTCCCCCTGAGAATGGAGCTGGACATGGTATCCTGCGATTCCAAATAAAGAATGATCGATTGGTAGGAAAATGGGGTGGGGAAATTTCCTGCAGACTTTTTGGGGGATTTTCCCAGAGTCTCTGGTCCGCGGGATTTAAAATTATGAGTTTGGTGGTCCCTCAGGTCCAAAAGGTTGCCAACCCCTGGTCTCCAAGACTAAGCTTCAGAGTTCATAGCCAGAAGATATGAAGATCGAGGAATCTAAGCTAAGGGACCAACAGAAGCAACGTCACTCTCTACTTACTGAATTCTCAGCTGTCTGTTCAAATATATAGAAACCACTGTGAAATACACGCAACTTTTCCAGGGCTGAGAATTTGCACTAAGGACAGAGAAAAGGACAAGGCGCCTTTGCCACGCCGCCGCCTTCCTTGTTCTCAAACCCCTTGTTCCTCCTCGCTCTTTGTTTCCCGGTTGACTCTCGTTGTTTGAGCTTCACCGTGCCAGACTGTCCAGCGCCCAATTCCACTTACTTGCCTCACCGCGCGAGACTGTCAAAACCAAGAAGCCGGGTGACGTAAATTCACAGGCGACGCCACTGGAAGATTCCTTTCTTGAGGTACGGTTCCCTAAAGTGGACAAAATAAGTCAGTTTCCGAGGCCCCATGGCTTCGTCTCCCGTCGGACTGTGCGCGCCTAGTTGCTAAGCGACCCTCCGCAGCGCCTCAGATTAGCGGGTTTCTGGCCGCGGCTCTTGGTCGATGGCGAAGTTCGTGCTGGCAGGTGAAGAGGAGACCTTCTACATGGCGACTCTTAGTCATCACCACCACCACCACCCGATGGTTGGGGATGATTGAATACTTTTGGGCTAAACTGACGTCGCCTTTTCTTCCTTGAGTTCCTGTTGATTTCATGTTTCTTTGTAGATCGCCCAGACTGATGGGGCGGCTTGCGAATACTATAAATAAGTATCTGCAGCACAGACAGTGCAAGGCGAAAAAGTACTTCAATTGTTATCTAGGACAAAGTAATCCCCCCCCCCTTCCATTCAGTCGTGTTCGACTCTCAGAGACTGCCTAGAGTCCCTGCAGCTTTCTTGGCAAGATTTCCGAAGTGGTTTGCCGTTGCCTCCTTTCTAGGGCTGAGAGAGAGAGAGCGACTGGCCCAAAGTCATCCAGTTGGTTTCTGCCTAAGGTGGGACTAGAACTCACTGTCTCCTGATTTCTATATTGATGCCTTAATCACTGTACCAAACTGACTCTTTTATTTTTTACTGTATTTATAAGCCTCCAAGAGACTTGTCAAATTGCAAAGGTAAAACCCAAATCCATAAATAATACAAAGTAAAAGTAATTGACTTGGGGTCCTACCTAAGATAAAGTAATTTACCAAGAGAATGTAATTTAAGCAAACCAAATTCAGGGGTTCAGGTTAAAATCTACTTTGGGTTTGGTGGTAGCATTCCAGGTTGTATGAACCAACTATTGAAATGATTTAACATTCAGTCTGTTGCAGATTATTCAGTAAATCTTGATTAAACAAATCATGGCTTAACAGTATGGACCCAGCGATATCTGCTGGGTCAGAAACATTGTACAATATTTAGGCCTGCTGAACCTGGGCAGCACAATCCATTCAACTGCTACGGGTAGATAGTAGCAAAAGGAGTCATAAACTTTTAAATATGTTTCCAATCTTCTGAATTTTTTGCTGCTTAAATAAAGTAGGAGCAATTACATAAACTAACTTTAGCCTGTTTTCTGACTTGTTTTCAGTGTCTTCTAATCAACCAAGGGCTGCAAAATCAAAGTAAAACTAATTCTATCAATTGACTTGAGTGCTATTTTACAAATTATTTCAGTACAATCTACAATAAAGTTATGTATGAATATTGTGCCTGTGAAATAATGTGTTGTTGATGTAGTTTGATTGTCATTACACTGATGTTTTTAATTTTTAATATCAAATTACTTCAACATTACCATGGCTCTATTTTGGTCAAGTTTTCGGATTAGGATGAGGAAGACCCAAGTTCTGATCTACCCTCAGCCAGAAGTTTCTCGTGACTTTGGATCAGTCCTTCTCCTTCAGCCTAACCTCTCCCATTGGGTGGTTACTATGGGGAAAAATAGGAAGAAGCAGGAAAAAAAGGAAGAAGCTACATACTGCCTTGGGCTCTTGAATGAAAGTTGGGATATACAGTAAATTCAATTAAAAAATAACATGTTTATAAATGTGTACAATTCTTATTAACTACTTAATTTCCAGGTAGAGCAGATTGCCCCTACTATGCTAAGGCAGAACTCCTAGCTGACTATCTATGGAAAAATTTGCCGAACTTCAGGATACACAAGATTGTTCAACATCCTGACAACTGGGAGGTAACATTATTTCAGTCTGGTTTGCTAGTGAAGAGATTATCTACTTTTTAAATCTATTAAACATCGGAAGTATCTTTATAGGTAGCAGAAGAGAGAAATGGGATAAATGTACAGTACATAAAAATAGTTATATGGAAACAATGATGAAGAAAGCTAATGAACTCTGCTAACCTTTGAGTTTGATTATTTGTAACATATCAAATATATGATGGTTTAGGAGCATAAATAAAGTTTGGGAAATCTACAATAGCTTTTTATGGCTTTAATAATTGATGGATAAAAATGACGTTGATTATACACCAAAGCTTCATCTATTTTGCTTCAGTTTAAACTGAGATAAATTAAGATTGTTGTTTCTTTAGAAAGAATGGCAGAATCCATATTCATAGATTCTGTTCAGAAATATATTCTTAACTCTAGCCTCTTGTTCTTTATGAATAGAGAATGGATAATTGTAGGAAATGTAAAGATGATTATTTCAACTAGGCTGTTAAAGCCATTTATGGATTTGTACGTATTAGCATTGCATGATATGCTTAATTTGAGGGCATTTATCTTTAGAAGTGGCTTCAGCAGATCTGTAATGAGAATGGCTGGAAACACAAACGCTCCCCAATTATTTGGAGAGAACTGTTGGACCGTGGTGGAAAGGGCCTTCTTCTAGGAGGATTCAATGAATTTCTAGAACATGCTCAGGTAAAATTTTGCATATTGATTTGTTGCGTATTGATTTTTTTGCTAGCTTCTTTTCCTTTCTCATCAATCTGTTTCTATTTGTTTTCAGACTGACCAAATTTCAGTATATGGTATCTTTAACCACACAATGCTTCAGTCAGCTTAATTAAAACTGTTAGGGAATTAGTGAATGGGAATTTAAATATATCAGTAAAATATCTGAATCTCATTGAAGGACATTTGAAACATAATATAAAAAAGGGATAGAATTGTTAAAGTAAATGGAAAAGGATAGTAAACAGGAGGTTCTTTGAAGATTACTGAATCAATTTTGGTAATCAGCAAAATATTTGTAGCAAGTATATAATTGTAAAACACTAGATAAAATAATTTTAAAGAAACTTACCATTCACAAAGATAATTGGTGGTGGAACCCTATATACTGTTAATCTAGACTAATGGGTGATATGTAGTAGATTAGCAAGAGCTTTTGTTTCCCATTTACTTAAAAATAGGAATAAAAGAATATAAAGATGTTGAAATGAAGAAAATTGAGTACAGTGATGACTGGATTTTGAGGAAGTAAACTGCCAATATGGTTGGTGGTAGCAGCTAACCTTGATCAATCTTGAAAAGCTATGCAGAATTAGGACTTGAAAGGGTAACCATCAGAAAATCCAAGAGCTGTAGATTAAACTGGGAAGAAAACAAAACACGTCTGTATTTCCCTTGGTAAAACTGTATGCATGTTGATGGAGTCACTAGATTTTTTGTGGGAACTCTGAAGTGAGTTCAAATCTGGGTTTAAAACAAATCCATAGATCAAGAAATGCTTGTTAAACTCCAAGAATATGTCTTTGCTCTTGACTGTAAGGATCTGGCAAAAATAAAATCTGACAAAATATGCTTCCCATGTCATGTTATTTTACTATTAATGTATAAACTGTTCTTCTTGGACACCTAATGTCATAATTTAAATTGTTCTTCCTATTCTGTTATTATTACTATTTCTATGTTTTTGTAATCAAATGTGTTTTAGTCTTCAGAATTTGAGATAAATTATATTTATTGATGAACCTTTTTGATCTTCAGCAATATTATAACATCACATCAGATATGATGACTGAAGAGATGTTACTAATAGCTAATGAGAACTTGCAGACTTGCATAGAAATTGAAGCAGAAGAGAAAGAACTAAAAAGTCTTATCAACCCCTTGCACATTTGGCTTAATAGGTGAGAAGATGAAAAAGAAACAACAGAGTCTGAAAAACTTTAATTCATTTTTTTAATATAGCAGTTACTGAGTCATATTTGCTGAACTGGAAGCACTTATACCAGTGAGAGCATTCTTTTGTTGTGATTTTAAGATTGCCAAATTGGCATTCAAGAATTTGGATAATTCCTCTTTAGTGTCCAACTGCAGATTGTGACTGTCCATTAGTTATGGGAAAGCAGCAGAATGGTTGTTGCCATCTATCTGACCATGATGCTTAGTTGGCTCAAAATAGGAATCTGTAAATTTTTGCTAACTCCAGGATGTGTTATTGCTATTGAATTGATTTTCTTTTGTTCCATTATTTTTCTGTAATTAAAGAAAATGGGGAAATTCCTAGACATTTATGTTTCTTACATGTTTATATATACCCTGCTAAGGCAAATATACGTTCAACTATGTTATGCTAAACCCATATATGCAAATGTTTGGTGGAGGGGTTAATTTTTGTCAGATCATATAATTAGATTTGGTTACTATCAAAAAGCTAAGCTTGGTTTGCATTTGGATGGAAAATAACCAGGAAATCTAGATTTTAGGCTATGGGTTAGAATGGCAAATTCAAAAAAATTGCTGGAAGAAGGCAATGCAAGCCATTTCCATATTGTTATCAAGAAAACTACATGAAAGCTTGGTTTTATTTGAAAGATTGGATAAAAATCTCCCCAGTTATCTTTCAAAATTTCTCTTTAAAAAGGGAGGGAAGTCTCTGCCAGTGCCAGTGTAGTTGTTCACCTCCATTCCAGATGCTTATGGTAATATGGACTAAACCAGAAGAGCAGCAGCACATGGGTATTAGCTGTATAATATGCAGTTATCCTTTCAATATATACATAGACATGCACGCATGCATGCATATTGTGAGGGATTTGATTGATTAAGGAGGGTTTGGTCTCTCTTTCTTGTCACTTGCTTTGCAAAATTTCACCACTACCATCAACCTGCCCACAATGAACTGAAAAATACATTCTGTGGATACCAAATGCTTCGGAACTAATGGTTTTCCTTATTGCTTTTTTCTTAATCAGAGCATGCAGTCCTGCCTGTTATCATCTGATCCCATTATTAACTAATGGAGAAATATTTGGAATGGAAACTGAGATAAGCCTTCATTTGTTTGACAGAAGTATTTTCAAAGACATTCTTTGGGGTATTGTTATGGAGACTCAAGATTTAGCATCCTCAGTCCTTCGTAGTGTCACTTTACATACTGAACTGGAGGA